TTGGGCCTTGGATGACACTGCGAGGAGAAGTCACTGGACAATACTGAGAATCCAAGTGCTGCAAACCAGACCCCAGGCACTGCCAGGAGTGAGGACCAGAATGCCCGCAGTCCTTGTGCACTAAGAGAGGAGAGAGGGCAGTGGGGTCACTGTGCCATTAGAGCATGATGGAAATTAAGGCTAATACAGGGGGTTTTTCCACAAGCATTTATTGCCCTGCTTCTGTTCTCAATGAGGAAGAGAGGATATAATGAGGAGACAAAGGCAGAAAAGCTAATGGGAGCTTTAGCACTTTTATTAATGTTTTAGTCCACAAGTGAAGAGAGCATTGACAAAATCTCCTGGAGATGTGAGGTTAAGAGATGTCATTATGCAGAGCAAAAGGGAGCTCTCTCACAGGACAAACCAGAAAACTGGGGAGCAGTGGAAGTGGTATAAACTGATTGGACAAGGGCAAAGCCAGTCAAGAGACTAATAATACTTTCTGACAGAAGATTGGAGTTCATCAGCAACATCTTTAGCAATAGCTAAAGAAGGTTGTGGATCACCATGACCAGTCAATCACTGATATAACTCTAGATAATGAAAATGAGTTTTTCAAAGTTATCAAAATGGCTAATTCCAGTGGAAATAGGGAAGCAGTTTGCTATTGCATAGGCTCTTCTGCAAGCCCATGCTTTGTACCACAGACACTCCACCTCTCCCTTTCTTTGAGCCAGACACGGACAGAGGGCCAGCAGGAGAAGGAAAGCTACTAGAGAAGATGATTTCTATAACCTACCAAAAGAGAGGCTGAGAAATTACTTTCTAACAATGCATATCAGCTTAAAGACTACCAAGGGAGAAGAATCATTTAAGCTGGGAATAGGTTTTGGCTCAAGATCAGATAATCATAAAACTATTACAGATAAATTTCAGCTGGCAATTAAAAGATAGCTCCAAAGCAATGAGAAGCAAGGGGGCTGCAAAATTCTGGCAGTCAAAAAAAAGCAACAACACTTGCCAAAGGTACACAGGCACACACAAAAACCTCCCTAGAATCTCACTCATTGTTTTTAAGATATATCCTGGTGCTTTCCCAGAAGCTCTTGGTGAAGGGATTTGCTATAATTAAGGAACTAGATTCAGGAAACCCCTTCCAAGTCTCTGGTACAAGTCTGGTAATTGCATATCACAGAGGAATTATTGGCATTGACAGAGTTACTGAAGCAATTAATTAGTTTACTAGCACCAAGAAATAGTAACCTACTTTTGTAGTGCTGCAAAGACTAGGAGAGGAGAGGGTAAAAGCAAGAAAAATCTTCAAGCTGCTTGCCCAGAGGGTACAGACTGTCATCCCTAGGAGCCCTCTTATCTCACACCTGTGGCACCATCTCAGGTGATACCTTGGGAGACAAGGCTCAGAAACAAGTCAGGAGTGTAGCACCAGAAGTATATTATGTTAACTGTGCCATTCATTAAAAGAAAAAACAAACAAACAAAAAAACCCAAACAAAAAAACCCACCAAAATAAAAGGGTGGAGGAAGAGGGAAGCCTTGATTGGCTTGAAATTTGAATTGCGGTGAGCTGTGTGATCATACAGGAAATATGCAATACCTCGATATCACAGGGGTGCGTACAGTGGGACAACCTGGGTTTGAATTGTTATCTGCTCAAAGAATTTTTGCCATTGTCAAAAATAACTGTGTCTGTAAGATGCTATTAGACATTATGAGAAATACTGGAACTGCACCACGCACCACTCAGACTGGCTCCCTCATTTTCTTTACCTCAGTTGCCAAAGGCATCCAGGCACAGCTAAAGCCAGAACCTCTAAAGAAGAAATTATTTTCTGCACAGATATAAGTCTCTGGAATGTCTCTGTGGGGTTTAAAACAACAACAACAAAAATGTTTCTGCTTCCATCTTCTGTCCATATGCCTCTCTTTGGGGGGGGTTAATTTTTTTTACTTTTGATTTCTCCTGGGGTTTTTTTTATTTGTATTTACATAAGCAATGCAGTCCCTTAGTGTGTATTAACTCATAAATCTAATTAATATCTATGGGAGAGAGTCAGGCTGGAGCCAAGCATAGGAATACCAAATCTCACATTTTACTCCTGCTTGGAACTCAGCATTGCCATGGCTTTTGGAAGCAGAGCAAGACATTTCTGCACAACTGGGATGATGGCTTTACAGAGATTTTTTTTACAGCCAGCAATTATTTGTTACCCAGAGGAAAATAAAGAAAAAAAGCATTAACCCACTGAGACAGCAAGCAGTGTAAGTTTCCTAAGAGCACTGAGCATTTGGTGACAGCTTAGCTCCTGGGCATTTGGACCTCTCCCAGCCTCACAGCATTTTATAGCACCAGTGCTTGTCTGGTGTGCAGCAGAGTCAGGAGTGGTGAGGAGTCATGGTGGAGCTGGTACAAGGGAGCAGCAGAGCCACACTCCCAGGTGGGGGCTGTTTGAGGCGAGCCATCTCACACCAGTCGTCCTTGGCAGCTGGAAATGTCATCTACATCAGTGCCTCCCCCCTTGCCTCCACCAGCAGCCTCAGGACTGCAGCAGCCAGCAGCTGAGGGAGGAGCACAGCACAGCACTGCTGCCCTGAGCCCACAGGTGAGAACAGCTTCTCCAGATGAGCCACATGAAGCTCATTTTCAGGTATGAGTACATAGATATTTAAACGCTCCATCTGCTTTCAAGTGATTTAAAAATTGCACTCAATGAAAGGCTTTGGTTTCTTTAATTTGAAAGTATGGGAGGGAAAAAAAAATCACACACCAGAAAAAGCCAGCTAGGTAAGACCCATCAGATACCAGCACTAAGCAAGGCTGAGCTCCTCCACTTCACAGCCCAAAGGGTTTAGCTGCAGGCAGGTTAATTCAGAGAGCCATAGCTCATTCCTGTAGTAAGTAGCCTCAACTATTTTTGTCCACATGGACACAGAATCACTTCTGCAGTACAAGGTCTTCAAGAACCTGAGAAACCACTGAGCCCTGTGCTGGGCAGCAGCTGTGGGCTGTCCTCTGTAGGGGAAAGAGATCCTCAGTGGGCTGCCTGCCAAGGGCCATGCCCAGGGACAGGGTCCAGCCCTAAGCCTAGCACCTCTCTCCTGCTTTATGCACCCCCTTCTCTGCATAGGCTGCCCAGGGAAATGGTGGAGTTGTCATCCCCAGAGGTGTTGAAAACATATGTAGATGCGATACTGAGAGACACGGTTGAGTGGTGGACTTTGCTGTGCTGGGTTAAGGGTTGGACTCGGTGATCTTAAAGGTCACTTCCAAACTGAATGACTCTATGGCAGATCAATCATCTACTTCCCCTGACATGCCTGCTTTGAGGGCACAGCTGTGGGGGCAAGGGATAAACCTGGCCCCCTTCCCCAGCACAAGCTGGGCTCCCCCCAAGTCTTGAAACACTTGAAAATCTGGTTATCGAGATATTATAACACAGCAGGTGCCAGGCTTGCATCCAGGCCCAGCTAGGAACTGGTCACTGTGGGAAAAGAGCTTTTACCCCACACCAAATGTGGCAACCACCTCTGGAAGAGCAGTCAGCCAAGGATTTACCAAAACAAGGGAGAAAAAGCTGGGAGTAGAGAAAGCAGGGAGAGGTGGATGAGAACTGTTTGAACTTTCGTCCACAGACGGAAAGCTGATGTGCAGAAGGAATTGTTTGTGAAACCACCCAGCGGAAGGTCAGCGTACTGTAGGTTCAATGTGGCTGATGTGCACTTGTTCCACTTTTCCCACCGCCCCCACAAACTGAAAATCAAGCATGGAGTTTTTCTTAAGAATCTTTACTTTTTTTTTTCTCTTAACTTAAATTATATGTCCGAAATACAAGTATAAAACCTTACAATGAAAGATGCTGCTAATTTCTACAAAATAATCTAAATAATAATACACTTACAACATTTACACAATTTACCTTCACAATAAAATAGGAGCACTTAGACCAATATTTACATATTGACAGAGGATGTGGCTGTGCAGCCATCCACTTCTGGCACTGCCTCCTGCTGGAGTACCTCTGGGAGACTTGTCTCTGCAGGGAGCAAGCCCTGCCAAAACCTTTATAGGAGCAACCTAGGAACCTGCCCAAAGGGTACCAAACAGACCAAAAATGGTGGCAAATATTTGCTTTTCTATCTTAAAGCTGCCACTGCAGCACACAGCAATGAGTTATTTAAGGAATTCCCTGATACAGAATTTTGCTTTGCTATATTAGGCACTTCGTTATACAAGTTATTTGTTATGGCTTATGCAAAAGAACTCGCTTTCCTCAGGATGTGTATTTGGCAGATTCAGTGGGAGAAAGAGACATGTCTAAGGGCACACTTGCAGCCAATATTTTGGGTTAGCCTGCATTAGGAATTTGGATCACATTACTTCATATGATTAATGAAGGAAATATTTTATCAAGACCTGTTCCTTCCAGCAAGTCAAGCAGTCAGTATGTTTTAAATCTCAGTATATCTGCACTGCAAAATCCTTGGCAACTACAGATTTCCCTCTTTCAGTAAGTTAACTACTTACATCCATGCTGTTCCATGTGCCATGAGGTGACATATCCCACATATGATTGTCTTAAAAGAGTACACTGTAGGTTGAAGGATTATTTACATACCTTAACATGTAGAAAAAGTTGTAACTTACCAAATAATAAATACAGATCAGAGTACAAGACTGAAATAAAATAAATTAGCATGATTCCCCAAGGTGTTGAATTCCTTCTCTTAAGGCCTGAGCCAAAGATTAAAAAAAATTTTAGAAAAAAGCCAAGTGATGTATTTTCAATGGTTCAAAAAAGTTTGGGACAGGGCTTCTAATTACACACTGTCTGTTTGAGAATGAGATGTTTAGCTAAGTTGGTGGGTACTTGAAAACCCATATGACCAACCAGCAAAACTTACTTCTAAAAGGAGTCTTTTGGGTAAAATTTTTTAGATCAAACATTAATAAAATGTTTTTATTATTTAATGTTTTTATTGGGAAGAACATAATTCTCGAAGATTGTCTCGACATTAATTCAGCAGCAAGGAAATAAGCATACAGTTAAGAACACAACGTATTTTGAAGCAAATACGTGTTAGTGCACATGATTTTCCAAAAACTTCACTCCTCAGCTACATTTGTGCATATTTCAGAATGCTTCTAACTAGATGATTAATAAAAATCTTCTCATGACTATAGCTAAGTTTGCCATTGAAGAAAATTAACTGAAAAACAGAAGCAACTTACTCAAGAACGATGCCAAATTTTAGGTCCAAATATATCTGAGATATTTGGAATCCAAGTATAAATCCTAAAACTTAGGTCTATCAAACTTTAAAAAAGAAAAAAATATTAAAAGCAGTGAATCTGCTCTCAGAATTGCACACTCACCAGGTTTGTAAACTCTACATGAAGTCAGTGACGCACTGTTCACTATAAGAGGTATAATGTGGATGCTCTATGCAGAGCAGTGCAGATGCTTTTTGGTTGCCGTTTCCTTCACATCTCCTCTTTCTCCTCCTTGAGGATCAAGCATCTAAAGTAATTCAGTAGCTAAAAGTGTCTCAGAGGAAGAGGGTGTCTCTGGGTTTACATGGAAGGGGAGGTGACAGGTGTCCACGTGGATGCCAGCCTGGCATGTGCAGAGGTGTCATACTGGCTATCGGGCAGGTCCGCGGGCGCCGCGCCGTCGTACAGGGGAGAGGCGGAGGAGGCCGCTGGCACCGGGTGGGGCAGAGCGGAGTAGTGTCCTGGAGAGCCACGCAGGAACTGGGAGCTCAGCCCGTTGGACATCCCGCTCGGCTGGGACACCGGCGTGATGGTGCTGTTACTCACAGACCACAGGTTGGGGTACTGACTGCAAGAGGGAAAGCCATAGATAAAACCAGTTCTTCGTGACCCTAGCGCCCGCTGGCAGCTCCTCGGCTCACAACACTGCCCCCGAGCCAGGTCTGTTTGCTGCAGACAGTGAAACTCTCTAGGCAGTTCCCAGCCACTGTGAGGCAGGAAGGACCCCCCAGGCAGAATGGCACACCCACAAATAAACTGAACTTGGTTATTTTCCAACAGATAAGGGGTTAGACAAAAGGGGTGGCAGAAATGCCTTCCTTGAGGTCCCACAGTTCCAAGTCCTACTGGTTTTACCCACTGAACAACTCAGTGCAGAAACTGAAACTCTGGGAACTTTCCGACTTCCTAAATAGGCATCCTGGGGATCAGGCAGAGAAAGAAGGACTTTTTTACTCAATCTGTGTTCAGGACTAAAAAATATGTTCAGTAATACAGTTAACTCATACTGGGTAGCAGTATGTAGCCTGATTAACAGCTAAGAGTCCATGTGCATGGTTCAAATGCAAAAATGCTTTCCTCAAACAGAATGGTAGGTCTGAATTGCTAAGAAAGATGCCCAAATCTTGTCCCTCTGCAGTTAATAGCAAATATTTTACCATCTCTTCTTCACCTCTTTGAATTTTCAAGTTTAGCTCTAAGGGACTAACTTCAAGTTGAATTTTTGCAAAAGGATTCAAAAGTTTAATTAAGATAAGTACAAAGAGGAGAAAAGATTCCTTTTCTATGATCAAAAAATATCAAAGACTCTCACCACATGAACTGTTATACACTATGCTGGTTAGCGTGGCAATGCTTAAGTAAAGAATTACTGCCCCAACCATGTGCTCCTTCTCCACACTACAGTTCACTGCTCCATCATTTGGAGCAGAACAACAGCTTATGGAGATGGCTGGGAAAGCTGTGACCAGCCAAAATGGAAGGGGTAAAGAAAAACTTTTTAAACACCCTTATGCATAATACAGATGATACTTAAGAAAGCATCCTCAAATTCCATCTATGTTTAAGCAATTTGCAATCCTTAATTTATCATATATTGCTGTCAGAAGTATCTACATTTCCAAAACAGATACATTTAAATAAAATTTTTGTTTCTTCAATCTGTTTTATTTGTGAATAGTCCTGCTCAGTGCCACAGAGTGCTAATGGTTCATACCAATGGCCAAAAAAAGACTTCAAATACGCTGGTGACTCTTTACCTTCTTTTTCAGCCTTTTCTTCCTAGAAAATAGCAATAAAGGGATTTGAGGGGTGCTGAGGGATGGACTCCTACCTGGAGCTGGTAGCTGTGCCAGTGCTGTGCCCCATGGGCAGCATGGCTGTGTGTGTGGTAACTCCCAGAGAAGACCAGTTGTCATGGGACTGCAGCATGGATAGGCAGGCAGAGGAGTTGTCAGCATAGGCTGCTGAGAAAACATGTAATCACATCCAAACACTAGAATCAGGCCAAATAGCATTCTTGTATTTAAATGCAATGCAGAGTTTTAAACCACCCTTCCCCACCACTGCCTTGGAAACAAAAATAAAAACAAAATTACACACACAGGAAAAAAAAGCCAGTAACCAGTTGTGTCAAGCTCACACCTTTATTGGCATTGTCCTGATGTGTTGTTTTGCTCCACTCATAACTGCAAAATCTTATTTCTGTGAAGGGCCTATGGCCACCAAAAGGCAGTCTGCAAGCCAGCTGCTAGCTCAGCACACACTATTTTACTTAGTCAGTGGGAAAAGGAGGGCTCTTTGTTTACACTGTCACCTGGAGACCTTCCATCTCCATCACCTACACTGGCAGCAACAGTCTGGCACAGCTGGATAATGAGCCTATCACTGGATCACACATCCCAGTATGCAGCTGAGCATGCCACCTTGAAATCTGCCTTAGGCACCATCAGCAGTGACTGGACTGTGGCTTACACTACTTGGCTTGTGACCCAAACTGGCTGGCTCACACAGCAGGGGCACTAGGAAGCTATAAAGGGAATCCCAAACAGCCACCCACAGCGAGAAGGAAGCTGCTGTGGCAGCTAGCTAAGGCAAGGAGGTTTTTTTGCTGAGGACCAGGGAACAAGAAAGAACACCAGAGAGGTTTTGTTCTTGTATTTTTTTTAAGTCTTGCACAAAACTTCCAAGATGCAAGAAAAGTTCACAGAGGGCTAGTTTTCCACTTCAAAATGAACTACAAAGCTACGTACAAGATTGGTCAGGCTGCATCTAGAAGCCCATGTATTCACAGACTTACTTGGCGAGTTGTTCCTGTGTGTGTAGGGGCTGGCGTAGGGCGCAGGCCGGTGGTTCCTCAGTGACGAGTACCTCTCACAGCTGTGGGCAGGGGACAGCGACAGGGGGGCTCCAAACTGGGTGTGAGGATTGGCAGGTGGGCACAGAGTCCCACTCCCAGGAATGAGCCAGCTACCTACTGGGGGGAAGCAAAAGGTCTGTAAGAGGGGTGCAGAGTGCAGCCAGGCAGAGAATCACAGCAATGAGACAAATAACTGAGCAGCGAGGAAATGAATGCATGATCAGGAAAGGAAACTGAGTTTCAACATAGCTGAAAAATCTCGATCTTTACAACTTGGATGAATGCTCTTATGAAGGAAAATTAGAAAGCAGCTAAGTCTTGTGCCAAGCTAACTTGTTTTTTAAATAACCATTTAATCACAACCACAGTAAGGAAACAGGGAAATAGTTAAACCCTCCAATACATAGGTAGCATGTGTGCTGCAATTATTAGCATAGTATTAAGTTTGAAATTGTTCTTTGTGAGGCCTCAATCTATAGCTAAGCTCTGAAGTTTTCAGACTGCTAAGAACTCCTCTTAAAAATTAAGTATTTTCCTGAAACAAACTCCTATTGCAAATCAACTCTATCATTCTTTTTTGGTTGCGTTTTGTTGTCAATCATCTGTTAAAACAGAAATAATTAAAACACTTATGCTTTTCAATCATCTGAAAGAACTTTTTTAAGCAAATACACATAATTTTATTAGACTACTTAAAACAATTACTGTATCAATAAATTCTATGAAATAAACTTTTGTCTCCACGTCCATGTGAACACTGCTGTCCTTGTATAAAAAGGCAGATGTCCTTTGGGACATAAAGGCAACTCTGCAGGATTCTATTAAATGGTTTTGAATGCAGTAAATCCTAACCACATAAAGAAATGATAGTGTTTATACATAAACATGCATGAACCACAACCACAGAGACTGGTAACATTCCTTTCTCTATGAGCTAACAAGCCAGCCATCAAGCACTGGTCTCGAAGTTTTGCTTTACAGAGAGTAGATGGAAGAAATCAAAGTTATGCTCATGATGCACAATGAAAGGAAACATACACTGTGAATACCCAGACTGCTGGTTGTCCCCCACTTCCTCCATCATGTCTTTGTGATCACTTCTGTAAAAGAAACCATGTTGTATTAGTTAAGAATATGCCTTCACAAATCTATCTTAAAAATCCACATTTTAGAATTAAGTCAAGAGCTCTCACCTTTCTTTTGCATCAAGAAATGCCTTTGCAAACGGATTGTATTTAATTTTTAAAGCTGTGATCTAAAAACAACAACAGATATCTTTATTGACATGCATACCATTCATTATCACATTGCTGTTAGGACTGGAATTAGGACTATCCACTGAAGTTGGTAAAATCACAGACTTCTGAAGAAATAAAGGTAGGCCCAGAATAGAAACTGATGAGCATGAATTAAACAGCTCCTTAAGGTCTGAAGCATTATCAACGCACTAGGAGTTAGTCTCTCTGCCAGATTTTCAAAGACTGAATTACCTGAGTTCATTGATCATCTAAGGAAACACCTAAGAAAGGCAGTAAACTAAATAGCTTTAAAAATCTTCACATTTCAAGCCAGAGCAGATTGTACATGAAAGAAATCACAGGAATCACAGAAAACTTGACAATTATTTCGTTCAACACAAACATGCTTTCAGGCTAACAAAAACAGGGCCACTCCAAAAATGGTGCATTTAACCATTTCAATGTGTAGCTGAAAATGACAATTGCATTTTCTACCATAGCTCTTTGCCCCCCATCAGAGTCTTTTAAAAATTACTCCCCTAAAATGAATTTGCAGTGCATATTCAGACGAACAACGATCAGAACTTTGCTCTATAATTCATTCATTCTTATGGCTTTTACACGCATTAATTTCATCTTTTAAGTTTAGCTTCAAAAAACAGCATAGGAAGAACTGGAAAACGCAAAAGGAGATCCATTATTTTGCTCTGCAACATGCATGCTTTGCTACTTGAAACCTCCTGGTAGTGGCATCCTCTCATCCCTGCTGTGCATACCTCCTCGTTCTGGTAGGCTGTCACAGCTATAAACTGGGTTTCTGGGAAGGAATGGCTGGTGATCATCCGCTGCGGGCCACCCACTCGCACTATGTGAATCCGTGGCTCGTACTTGTGCAGGGAGTTCAACATGATCTGCGAACAAACAGAGCAGGTAAAGCAGTGACAGAGTGGTGGCAGATGCTGCCAGGCACAAAGGGCACTCAGGCACTTCACTTTTAAAGCATCCATCTTTCCATCAGAGGTGGAAAAGGCAGTTAAGTACGAATAAAGCCTAAAACTGAAGCTGTGAGAGAAAGAAAGGCACACTGAGGGGAGACACCACAACTTTCTGCAGTGATCTTCATCCCTGTTACTTGACAAGGCACTCGCAGAGTCGCAAATGCATCACTGAGAACTCAGCCAGAAAGATTCATCTACCACACCACTGACGTTAGCATATATTCAGACCAGCAACAGATTTTCAATTAAAAAAAAAAAAAAGTGATGAAACATCAAGGCACCCATCCTCGGTGGAAAGAGCGGCCCCCCTGAATGACTGAATTTAGGCGGGAGGGGAGAGGGAAGCAAGACCCACCCCAGCCCGTTTGGTAAGGAAAGTATGGAAATGAGCAGTGAGGAGAGAGCGAGCCCGCCGGGCCGGGCGGGCCCAGCCCCGCCGACCGACAGGTCCCGGTGCCGGTGTTTACCTGCCCGCCGCCGTTCAGCTTGTTGGTGAGTTTGACTTTGCTGAAGGAGACGGGCGCCTTCATCCAGTGGGCGCCGAAGTTGGGCGAGTCGGGGTGGATGTAGACGCAGCTGGGCGCCTGCGGCTCCGGCTTCCCGCCCGGCACCCACTCCCCGTTCACGTACTTCCAGCGGTGCCCGTCGGCCGCCACGAAGTCCAGCAGGAAGGAGTACATGGCGTTGGGGTCCAGCCCCGACACGCTGACCTTCAGCACCGGGAACATCCTCCTGCGGGGCAACAAGGAGGCGCGAGGCACGGCGGCCGACGGGCAGCCGCGACCCCCGGCCCGGGACACCCTCGCCCCCCGCGGGCGGGCAGCCGGGACCGGGCTCGGGAGGCAGCGGGGGTGGCGGGGCCCCTCCCTACCTGCCGTTCTTGGTGACGATCATCTCGTTGGTGAGCTCCTTGAAGCGCAGCCACAGCTCGCTGTCCTCCAGCGCCACGCGCAGCTCCCGCTCCGTGGGGTCCCCCTTCTCGCTGCCCGCCTGCAGCTCGCTCTCCACGGCGCTCAGCAGGTGGTCCACGCGGTACTGTGGGGGCTTGCCCGCGCCCTCCGCGCCGGGGGAGCTCATCCTGGCCCCGCGCCCGCCCGCGGGGCAGCTCCCTGGCACGGCAGCGACGCGAGCGAGCCGGGCCGGGCCGGGGCCGCCTCCCCGCGCCCTCAGCGGCCGGGCCGCTGTTATAGCCCGCCATAAACGCCCCCCCGGTGACATCAGCGCGCCGGCGGGGGGGCCCCGCTGATTGGCGGGCGGCGCCTTTGATGGGCGCGCGCGGCGCTGCCCATTGGCCGCCCGCGGCCATATCAGAACGGTGCCCGCGGGAGCCTGTGATGTTAATTGCGGCCCGCGGGATTAAACGCGGCTATTTTATGTAAATCTGCCCCCAAATGTTTGCACCTCTATCAAAGCCGCCGGGGCCGGGGCTCCGGCTGCCGCGGAGGAAATGGCCCATCTCGGCACCAGCCTCACAACCGGCCAGCGCGGCACCCTTCCGCCTCCCGGCGCAGCGAGACCCCCGGTCCGCTTCTAGGCGGGCAGGCCTGGACGGGAGGCGCTCCCGCCGCGGATTCATATTTAGAGGGGGAAAAACCGGGGAGGGCTCTTCTCCAGGGGGCCGCAAGCTGACGGCAGCACCCCGCCCCGCACAGCGCTTCCCCCCGCGCCTGCCCCCGTGTCAGAAAGTTGTGCTGCACGGAAGGGTGCGGCGGGCAGCCACAAAGCCTTGCGGGGAAAATGGGCCAGAGGGCTGGAAGCGCAGCGTGCAGGGGCTGACCACAAACCCGGCACAGCGCGGGCCCTCCCCGCTGCTAAGCGAGCCCCTGAGCCCAGCCCTGAGAAAAGTGGCGGCCTTTGGCTCATAGCGCCGGCACGGGCAGCGCCTTCGCAGCCGAAATGCTCGACGGCGATGGTTTCCAGCCATCCCGCCTAAAGAATTTTTAAAAAATCTAAAAATCAGCTCGATAGCCGCCCGCCAACCCACCTAGATAAAAACATACTTCTGAACACCGGATCGATAGTTAAAGGCTGTGTTTCGCGTAGGAAGGAGAAACCCCCGCGAGTTCCTGCGTGCTAGAGGGGAGGAGCTCATGGGTGAAACTTTGCAGCGGGATGAGTTTATTTTAAAGTTATTTGTCACAAAAACAAGGCAAAAACAAGGGACGGGGCTCGGGAAAAGAGGGATGCTCTGAAGCACTCCCGCCGGCCGGTGTTGTAATAGTTTGCATTCTCCGGAGCTGCGACGGTCTGTGGTGTGAGGGAAGTTTATTACCTTTCCGTGAGAATCCCTGGATAGAGGGCGAGGGGGAGAGAGGTGACAATGAGCAGGAAATAGTTCAATGGGGTCTCTTTAAACAATAACAAGTTCTTTAAACGGGAGCAAAGGAGAGGGGAAAAGAAGCGGAGCGGTGTAAAAATCTGAGTTGTTTTGAAAATCGGCATCTCTCCCCTCCTCCAAACACTGCGCAACATCGCTGCCGGGATTTTTCAGATTTTAGGAGAAAGTGCCCGGGGTGCAGTGTCAAGCTCCCTGGCAGCAGAAGGAGCTGGAAGTCAGGGCTGCCAGGGGAAGGCACGCTGAAGGTCCCTTTGCGGGCTGCAGACGGTGATTCAAGCCCTTTTTGGTTTAGTAGCTGCGGCTTAGGGCTTTCATTACACAGCACCATCGGGCTCACACATCATTCACTTAATCAACTCCGCAGAGCTTTTTTCCCCCTTCAGTCTGACAAGCCCAATTTCTGGAGTCACCTCTCTTTCAACCACTGTGCAGAAACAGGCGAAAAAATGTTATCCCTTCAGATTAGTTCTTGCTTTAAAGTTTCTTAAAGCTCTTTCTGCCTGAGCACCTACTGCCTGCTTTTTGTCCTCTTCGGAAGGGGAAAGCAGCATCTGCAAATAAATTACGGGCAAAGTTTACTAAGTTGATACGTGGTCACTGCTAGCCATAGTTGGAGATGATCTTTTGGCTACCGGGTGTTTATTTCACCGAAGGCGCCTGACAAAAACCTAACAAAAACCACGAGCGCTCCAGCCCCACATGAGCACGGCACGGTGGGCTGGCAGCCCCGTCTTTGGGTTTGTGCTTTCCAGGCGACATTTCAAACGTCTTAATCCTGGAAAAGCCGGGTGCCGGGAGAGGCTAACCCCGAAAGAGGACTCGCAAAGACAGCTCCGTGCAGGTGACAAGGAGAGAAGGGACTTGTCACCCCTTGCAGAAGTGGCGTCACTTTTAGGGTACGGTCCGCAAGGAAGGGAGGGGGGGAGGGGAAAGGGGACAAAAACAGTGGAGGGGGTGGGGATGGTGACGGTGGGTCCCGTCTTGCCTCAGCTTTTCCTCGCCTCGACGACACCTGACAATGAACGTGTTTAAGAGCCGAAAGCAGCAGGAACAGCCGGAATGGAAACCGACGGGGCGGTTTCGGTGGAATATGAACTGTTCTGAAAATGTATAAATCAAATTATTAGAGACGATCTAAATTAGTATTTCTGTCCTCTGAGCTTTTAGAAGACCGTTTAATTCTTCCAGATGGGTGCTTCAAGGAAGGACCAATCCCTCTGTATATCATGGACTCAAGGAATGAGTAGCCCTACGGCAGCAGACACTTACCTATATAGTTAATATTTTTCGCACTGATCGCTCTCTCTAAAAAACAGAGGAGAGCTGAAGTTCAGCTTGATTTGATATATCTCACATTTTACTTAATACTTAGCAAATGAGTGAGCTGCTCATTCCAGACAAATAATGTATGCTCTCAGATTTAAGTGGTCTTTTTAAAAGAGTCTTCCCAGCTTTAAATTTTGCAATGATCATTTGAAAAAAAAAAAAAAAAAAAAAAAAAAAAA